CTGCCGCTGCCGCCTTTTCTCCCAAGCTTGTCTCCCTTCATGATTTCTCTTTTGGCTGCCGCTGCCGCCTTGTCTCCCAAGCTTGTCTCCCTGAATGATTTCGCTTTTGGCTGCCGCTGCCGCCTTGTCTGTGAAGTGTGTCTCCCTTCCTGATTTCGCTTTTGGCTGCCGCTGCCACCTTGTCTGTTCAGCTTGTCTCCCTTCATGATTTTTCTTTTGGCTGCCGCTGCCGTCTTGTCTCCCAAGCTTGTCTCCAGCTCTTGCCATGCCATCCTTTTCTTGAAGTGCTATCTGGGGTCTATGCTGGTATAATTCCTAGGTATCCTAGGCGCATCAGATATACCAGCCTCAACAGGCTCTCCTCTTTTACATGGAAGGTTCTTGCTTTATTCCCCAGATAGCTGGAAGTTATAGGGGTTCTTACTTCTCAATGGACGGGTTCCTGATTGCGGAAATTGGCTGCCGCTGCCGCTGCCGTCTTGTCTCCCAAGCTTGTCTCCCTTCATGATTTCGCTCTTGGCTGCCGCTGCCGGCTTGTCCCAAGCTTGTCTCCCTTCATGATTTCGCTCTTGGCTGCCGCTGCCGCCTTGTTTCCCAAGCTTGTCTCCCTTCATGATTTCGCTTTTGGCTGCCACTGCCGCCTTGTCTCCGAAGCTTGTCTCCCTTCGTGATTTCGCTCTTGGCTGCCGCTGCCGCCTTGTTTCCCAAGCTTGTCTCCCTTCATGATTTCGCTTTTGGCTTCCGCTGCCGCCTTGTCTCCTAAGCTTGTCTCCCTTCATATTTCGCTTTTGGCTGCCGCTGCCGCCTTGTCTCCCAAGCTTGTCTCCCTGAATGATTTCGCTCTTGGCTGCCGCTGCCGCCTTGTTTCCCAAGCTTGTCTCCCTTCATGATTTCGCTTTTGACTGCCGCTGCCGCCTTGTCTCCCAAGCTTGTCTCCCTTCATGATTTCGCTTTTGGCTGCCGCTGCCGCCTTGTCTCCCAAGCTTGTCTCCCTTCATGATTTCGGTCTTGGCTGCCGCTGCTGCCTTGTCTGTGAAGCTTGTCTCCCTTCATATGTCGCTTTTGGCTGCGGCTGCCGCCTTGTCTCCCAAGCTTATCTCTCTTCATCATTCCACTCTTGGCTGCCGCTGCCGCCTTGTCTCCCAAGCTTGTCTCCCTTCATGATTTCGCTTTTAAGCTTGTCTTCCTTCATGATTTTCGCTTTTGGCTGCCGCTGCCGCCTTGTCTCCCAAGCTTGTCTCCCTTCATGATTTCGCTTTTGGCTGCCGCTGCCGCCTTGTCTCCCAAGCTTGTCTTCCTTCATGCTTTCGCTCTTGGCTGCCGCTGCCGCCTTGTCTCCCAAGCTTGTCTCCCCTCATGATTTCGCTTTTGGCTGCCGCTGCCGCCTTGTCTCGAAGCTTGTCTCCCTTCATGATTTTGCTCTTGGCTGCCGCTGCCACCTTGTCTCCCAAGCTTGTCTTTCTTCATACTTTCGCTCTTGGCTGCCGCTGCCGCCTTGTCTCCCAAGTTTGTCTTCCTTCATGCTTTCGCTCTTGGCTGCCGCTGCCGCCTTGTCTCCCAAGTTTGTCTCTGTTCATGATTTCGCTCTTGGCTGCCGCTGCCGCCTTGTCATTTTCTTGCCTGGCTTCGACGTGGGTGCTGTTATGTGATTTAGGTTTTTGAGTGGGATGGTGTGCCTTGTGTCGCTTGCATCTTTTATGTGGCAAACTAAGCATCGTTACTTTCGGCAGGGGACACACCCTTTTAGTGAGAACGCGCAGGCATACTGAAAGTTTGCGCATGACCACATGCGCCCACTTGCACGCTTGGGCTGTTGCAATAACCCCGTGCTCAGCAGTTTAGTATTGGCATGCGCCTTAACACTGCTTTTGCATTGCCGGCCCAGAAAACGATAACAGTTAAAAATACGATAACGTTAACAGTTCAGAAGTGTTTTACGTGGGTTTGGGGGTACTTGTGAGGAGGGCCCAGGGCCTAGGGCGGGGCGTGTGATGGCAGTCCCCTAGACGCCCGACACCAGACTCACACCTTTGTGCAAAGTGTATTCTTCCCCATAAACAAAACCTGGAGCTCTGGAGCCACCGTTTTTTTCCTGTAAAGAATCCATATTAAATCCATATTGTTGGAGAAGGGTGCAAACCATATAAAAACTTTTTATGATTTTTACTTTTCTCTAACTTTTCAACCCATAAAACTACCAATCTGCCCAAACCATAAGAAAACCATAAAACACAGTGTGTTTTATGGTTTTTGTATGATTTGCATCCTTCTCCAACAATATGGATTTAATATATATATATATATTTTTTTTTCTAATGGCCTTTCTCAGGCCCTATGAGGTGAGCCGAAGCACGTGCCAGACATACCCAAGTGTGTTGCCAGGGGCCTAGGGCCACAATGTTCTGTGACATGTCTGACAGCCCCCTACATGAGAGTTTCCAAGTTCCCCTATATGAGAGTTCCCAGTTTGCCCATTGACAACACATGCTGCTTATTGCAGCCCTGGAGCGCCTATTTAATGGGCCTAGTTAGTAAACTTAGTAGTCCTCAAGCCATTAAAAAACCATAAACATATAGTAATTTCAAAGTTAGCATTTTTCACAACCATAAAAAACCATATCTTCAACCCTTTAAAATACCATTAAAAACAATTAAACAAATATTTCTGGAAATGAACCCTGTGCAGAGTTCATGAAGTCATAACGACAACGAATTTATACAGGATGCTATCTGGGGTCTATGCCGGTATAATTGTTTTGGATTGTTTTGACTTTCGGAATTGATGACTTTCTTTAAACAAGCACCTCCAGCGATTTCCGCCGCCCGCGACGAGCTGAGGAGCTCGGAGCCCCATAGGACCTCCACCAGCTCCGCCAGTGGAGCCGCAGCACCCGCCGGACCCGCCACGAAAGCGATTTGCATCTTTGACACGGGCAGCGAGCAGAAGACGTGCACCTTCTTCAAGAAGCCGCCGGGCTTTGCCATCCGTGCCTCGGCGACGGCTGGAGCACAACGAGGAGTAACGAGGTGACCTTTGGACCTGTGCGGATTCCGGAGAATCGACACGTTTTTGTTTTGTGTGTGTGCTGAGGGACCTGCATGTCAGGCAAATAAAGGCAACATGTCAAAGGTTAAGGTTAGCGGGTGATTTCAGGGACGGGTATATATAATATGTCAACCAGCTGTCGCCAGGCAAGGTTTGGCGCAGCTCATTCTTGGCTTTGGAATCACCTTTGCACAGAGTACGCATCTACAAATATCATGAAATCTTGACCAACACTCCCCAAATCTCTGCAGACTACTGTTTGAGTTTCTTAAATGGAACATAGCGATCCCTTTTGAATGCTGAGAGTTGAGCTTTGGCATGTTCCAAAGCGGATGTTTTCTGCCACTTGAGGCTTCCCCGCGATGACTGTGAGCAAGGTCACAGGCGGAAACGACTGGGGCCTGGGTGGAAGGGTGAACACCTTCCCTTCCCCGACGTGGAGGACCTTCACAAGACTTCCATGACGAAGATGTCCCCAAGAAGCCCATCCAAGGTGGGACAGGAGTCCCTCGTTGGAACAACGACCCATTCACAAGACGGAGCGCGGTCGTTGTCGCGTGACGTTGTCGGTTCGTGAGAGGCTGAATCGAAGGGCCCCCAATGGAGAAAGTCCACAGTGCCCGCAGGGTCCGCAGTGTGTAACGCCCGGTCTGGTCTGGTTGAAGCGGACGAAGAAAACGGATGCAGGCCGTCTAGTTGAGGTGTTGAAGAGTTCACTGAGCCCTTGGTGCGAAAAAATGCTCAAGACCAATCCAAACCACAGCTCCCTCCATTCATTCGCGGGGGCTTGCATGCCAAGTGGAATCGTCAACATCATAAAAGCTGCGCTTGCAGCGCTGCAAACGCCCTCTCCTGTTGCAGGCGCTCTGGCAATGGAGATGGGAATTCAGGCGGGAACGAGCATCAGGGGTCCAAACAGTTTTCCACCCCAAGGGGCCTCCAGTGACTCTATATAGTGGCTATGATTCAATCTATGATCATTGGAGGACTCTGCCACATAACCAGGATTTACTTACGGCCTTCCGTCCTCTTCCGCTCGTTTGCTTCGGTGCTGGCCGTGGAAAAAACGGCGCGTTCGGTCCGACCCGTCGGTCCGCCGGAACGGCCTCAGGCAGGCTGGAAGTTATTGGAGTGGGGCACTGCTGAGGATGTGCCTTGGCCCACTCCGCGGCGCTCGATCCACCAGAAGTCTGGGCAACCTTTGGTCCCTTCCTTCTTTGAGTGTGAGATGGGGTGTATGGGGGTTGTTTGGGGGGGCGTGTTTTTGTTTGTGTTCGGGAATCTTTGGCTTTTCGTTGGATCCAGGGTCCACAGTCCACGGCTTCATGAAATTTCCTCCAGCGCCCACCAAGGAGATGCACTCCCTCGGAAACGGCGAAGAGAAAGGCACGTGGAGCAGGGGCTTCTTCCGTGGGGGGTCGGAGGGAACGAAGGGGGGATCGGATGAGCAACGCCTTCCCGGCAAGAGGTGCATACCTGATCAAAGGACTCATGAAAGAGATGGATGACCCTCCAAAAAGTTTCTGGGGTTAAGTAGCAAATCTTTGGGGTGGAGGTGGTTGACAAGGGAACAGGGAGAATGTCTCAATGGACGATGATTCTCATCGTTGGTGCTGGGGGAGGGGGAATGCAGCCAGAACTCGCATAATTACTCGTTCTTTAGTAGACACCTTGTCAGAATATTGGTGTATATATATATATATATACACAATGTACACCGTATGCAGATGTATGATGATGTATGTAGGGGTCGTGGACCAGGATTTGGGAGGTTTCAGAGCCGTGCTTGTGCGTGGTTCCATGTAGTTTTGGTCGAGGCGCGCTGCGGCAGAGCTACGTGTCGATGATCCAACAGCTGCCTCGAGAAAAGGATCAAGAAGAAGGAGATCCTCTGCGGTTTTCGGGGCCCTTGAAGCCGTGCGGGGGTTTGGCGCAGCTTAGGGGGATTCTCTTGGGGAATTTGTCGCTGGAACAGGAGCTGAGTGGGAGCTACAGTAGGCTGGCATTCATTCCAGTCACAGGTTTATGCGAGCATTTTTATTAGTAGATGAGCATCATCTCAAGTCAACGAAGAGCTGACACCGAAACAAATGTGGATTATTTTTACATGCCAGGACCCGCCGGGGTCCGGGTGGTCCATGGACATAGACACCTCTTTCAAACGCGGGTCCTGCATATCAGTGCGACACTTCTTGGGCGATGCGATTCTTGCTTTGGTCGATCCAGGAATCCACGTCTCGTCCGGGCCACGTCGGTGTTTTTGCAGGATCGAAGGCAGGCTCTCCCACAGTGGTGGCTGGCCAAGATTGGGGGGTGGGATGTGGGTGTCCACTTGTTTGGGGACTTCTGTGCGCGTCACCCAACTCGAAGAGATACCCCGTTTTCCTACCGTGGCCGTGTGGTGAGCGCAGCTCATTGACCAACTCATTGCGCGCACACACATACAGATGTGTGTGTCTATGTTTACATATTATATTATATTATACTATATTATCTATTATACAGACACCGGTCAACCTGGAGGCTCAGTCCCTGGGTTTTGCCCGACGGCCGGGTTCAAGCGAGCCCAATGTCAGGCCAGGCACAGACCCATATAAAGTCATGGACATCCTATGTCAATGACATGGTTGATGACATGCAGGCAGGTTGCTCAGGTGACCTTGTATACATGCATGGCCAAGCGGCCAACCTGAGTCGGTACTTGAAGATCTTTGCCTTGCCCCGTGGGTCTGTGCACTGAGGGCAAAAGCCTAGCTGCATCCGCTGTTTCGCCGCTGGGCCTGTTTCAGTGCGGCTAGTGAGGGTCGCCCATGGGGTCGGAATTCGAGGGAGCTTAGCTTGTTCAACTTCAATGGATTCATTGGAGTTGTAGGCATGTTCTTGCTGATTATTTTACTATCATGTATACATATACATATATATATATATATACTCTATATATTCTTTTCTAAGAAATGAGTACCAGGGGGGTACCTATCAAAAAGACAATTGAGTACCATCAGAAAAAATATTGATCCCTATCAATAAAACATTAATTAATTCCTATCAAAAAATGTTCCCCCTACTCCTTTGGTCCTGGTCTGCTGGTTCCCTGGTCGTTCGGTCCTTTGGTCCCTGGGTCTTGGTCTTTGGGTCCTTGGGTCTGCATTTTCGAGGCAAGACGTACATCCTGTGAAGCACTGTAGCAGGCCTTTATTACCAGACCTTTTGTGAGCCACCCGACGGTAAAATTCAGACGAAGGAAGGAACCACTCCAGCGTGGCAGACCTTTGTTAGCCTTGCGAGGGCAACATTTAGAGGAAGAAGTTGCCATTCCAATGTAGCAGGCCTTTGTTTTGTGAGCAGCCCGACTGTAGACTTTGGAGAAGGAAGGTGCTGTTCCAACGTAGCAGACAATTTGTGAGCCACCCGAGAATAGAAATTAGAGGAGGAAGTTGCCACGCCAAGATACCAGACCTTTTGTGAGCCACCTGAGCTGAGGGTAAAATTTAGAGGAGTAGTATATAGACCTTTTGCAAAGGAAGGAATTGCAGGTAGCAGACCTTTTGTGAGCCAATTGAGGGCAAACTTTAGAGGAGGCAGGTGCCAATCCAATGTAGCAGACCTTTTATGAGGCCTCGAGATCCAGAGAGGCATTGAAATCCGTCTAAAGGGATCTAGAGGTCTGAAGGTTCAGAGAGATCACGGCTGAGGAGAGGTCCACATCTACAAAGATCCAAAGGTTTGGAGATCCAGACAGGTCTAGCGGTGTGGAGGTCTATATAGAGGTGTAGAGGTGTTGAGATCTAGACAAGTCTTGAAATCTAAATTCTAGAGGCCAAGATCCAGAAAGATCCCGAAAGCTTGTGAGAGACCAAGAGCTCTTTTCAAAGGTCTTGAGACCCACACAAATGCAGCGCCCGACACGCAATCTGCACTTCGAGGTTCACAACCGCTGCGCCTGCCACGAAATCTGCACCTAGAGGTTCACCCAGCGCCGCGCCTGCCACGAAATCTGCACTCCGAGGTTCACAAAGTGCTGCCCCTGCCACGAAATTTGCACTTCAAGGTTCACAAATCGGCGCGCTTGCCACGAAATCCCAGCTGCGCCTGGCACTTCCAGTGCGCAAAGTGCCGCGCTTGCCACGAAATCTGCAGCTGAAGGTTGCGAACGATCTTCCAGGTAGGTCAAGCAAGGTATTCGGCGCCCTGACTCACAGCCATGTCAGAACTATGAATGAGTTCCGCTGGACATGGACCATCTCCCCGGGTCACCGCATAGAGCGTGAGCCGCGAAGGAAACTGGCTCTCTAACTTTCGGAGTGCATGAAGCTCGATTCGTGCTCAGGGTGCGTTCGTTGGGTATTGCGAATACTATTCCCATCTATTCCCATTGCCCTGAATGGCATAATGTGCCTAATAATATATGGCACCCCCCAGATAGGCCGGGCTATCAACCAAATAATACCAGATCAAAAAGACAATTTATATTCAACACAATATAACCCTAACATGACCATTCACAAAAAGCTGCGCCTGCCACTGCGATCTGCCTTGGCAGGGTGGGCCAGGGTTCCAAAGTGTGACCCACAGCTACATGTTCTCTTGATTCCCGTCGAAGTCGGACAATGTAGGACCCATCCTGAGACTTCAGCCACCTGAGTGGTTGGTCCATCGGGCGCCCCGGCGATGGTCAGGATCCCCGGCAAGTGGGCTTACGACTTAGAGGCGCGCCTGCGGCAAAGCCGGCTTCAGCCGGCGACGCCCACCAATTATGCTTGGCGTCGGTCCTTGGGTTTTGAGAGGCACCACCTCCAAGTCAGGGCCGTTGTTCGCCTGCACAGCCGAGACCCTCCTCGCGGGCAGGTGGTGGTGATCTCGGCGAAGGGCTTGCGCGATGCGGACTGGATGGGCTCCAGCGACCCCTATTGTGTGTCTCGGCGCGGAGCACGGCGCCGCTGACGGCGCCGACGGCTTTTCCGGGGACCCAGCAGCCCAGGTGGCTGCACAAAGGTTTGTGGGCCTTGGGAAGATTGTGGGGTGGTTCCTGGGGCAACATGCCTGGTTTTCATGTCGGTACCTTCACTGGCCGGATGCTTCACAGCAAACAAAAATATTGTAGCATCCCAGGATCTTACAGTTTAAAAGGTGGAGTTTGGATGGTTTGACAGAACACGAGGCAAGCAAATGCAAGGCAAACAAAAGACATACAAAAAACAGCCGAGGACGAGATGTACTGCCACGGCTTTCAGGAGTTGTAATTGGATCCAGTATTGCTATTGGGATTATTCAGTGCTCCCCCATTGCAAGGCGCCATCCAAGTCGCCAGGTGACACGCAGGTGACACTGCCATGCGGCGTTCACCTATCGAAAGCGCGCACCTGAGCCGATCGGCCCCCCTATCAGGTGGCGACGGTGCAGGGCAGGGGTGGCTCGGCAGACACGGCCGGTGCCAGTTGGGCGATCAATGGCCATGTTTCGCAAGAGTCAAGAACCTTCAAGAGGGTGCCCCTCCAACCAACCGATGTACCATGTACAAATCATTCCTTGATGTAGTGGAGGATATATTTGGCCTTTCCTCGCCAAGCCGGGGGAGCATGGTAGCCACCCGTAGTACACCGCGGCAGCTCATGTCCACGAAAAGGAGGTTTGGACGCTGCTCAGGGCGACGAAAACGAGGCCGTCCACATGCCCCCCCTTGTGTTTCAGGGGAACTCGGCACGGGAGTTCTCCAACCCCTTTGGCTAGCCTTCGGCGCCCCGTCGCTTCGATGGCGGGCTGTGGCCGAACGCAGCGGCTGGATGTCAGGATGGGCCTTTTCGGTCCGGACAGCTTTCGGTTCAATCCTTGAGGTGTTTCGAGTTTTTCTTTTTCGTTTTCGCCCCGACTCGGGTGGCCGTACCGCCGGCCGTCACCATGTGCTTCTAAGGAAAGACCACCTTCAAGACCAAGGTGCTGAAGGCCACCAAGGCTCCGCCGGTCTACGTCTCGGTCGTCTTGGAACGTGGACATCCGACGAAAGGTTGAACAGTCAATATAGCCTATCCATGCCTATCCTATATGTACCACAGACCAGGGTCCTAGGTCAGGTCTCTCAACCTGCAATATCTCAGGTTCTCGGATCAGATCACAGGATCTTGGAGGGTCGACTCCTGAGGTCCTGGTGTGTGTGTTGCTCAATGGTGACCTTGCCATTTTCGGGTGGCGAGGTTAGTGACTCGTGTTTCTCTTGGAGTTGAAGAGGGTGCACTATAGCCATCTATAACATATTAAGCCTTAAGCCGCATGTATGTATATAAATATACCCTACGCACCCAAACCCTATAAATTTGTAGGGTCGATGGAAAAACCTAGGGTTTCTGAAGGAAACCCCAGGTTTTCCAAACCAATATTAAAATACGGGTTTAGTACGGGTATGTACGGGTTAAATATGGGTTTAGTACGGGTTAAATATGGGTTTAGCACGGTTTAGAAAAGCAAGACCTGAGGTTTTAAGAACAAACCTGAGGTATTTTTGATTTCACAAGAATACCCGAGGTTCCGATTGAGACCCTACAAATTTATAGGGTTTGGTTGCGTAGGGTATATAATATGCATTTTCAGCCTGCCAGGCAACAACCATAGGCTCCTCATACGAAGCCAATGCCTCCTTGCAAGCCGAGCCCGGTCGAAGCTATGCAAACGAATGGCCTGCAGAACTTCTGCAGCGCCTCCCCAAAATCGATGGTTTAGAACTTTGGAGGACTATCAAAAGCTACTATGCCATAAGGCAGTGGGTGAACCGCCAAAAGTGGTTGCAGCCTGTAATTTGCGTCCATTGTTTGGATAGTTGAATTAAGCCCGCCAACAGCAACCAATTAACCTGTAGCTTGCTGAATTTTCAGCACCATTTCATCAGCAGATCCTAGAAGATCAGCATTTTCTCTCCACAGCGGCGTGGACCGTTCACGGTCCCACTTTCAGCATCGGTGCGGGGTGTGGGTCCCGGACGTTTTTGGTGCCCTGTTTCGTGCCATAGCTTGGGCCGCATAGCTTGGGCTGGCAGGATCCCGTTTGGAACGAGAAGAGCAAAGTGCAGGACTTCCACGACGGCGATGCACCCAGCGAGAGGGTTGTCAGGATGGGTGCTGCTGTGGGACGTGGGTGAAAGAATGGGGTGGCGGAAAGTGGGAGGTTTGGGGCTTTTCAGGTATGCAGGGGCTGAGAATCATCAGGCTTACTGTAGTGGAGCACGGACCCGGACCCTTGGCTTTTCTGGGTCGGTGATCGTCCATGATCACCCCTGGCGGTGCAGAAGGGGATCGGCCTCGGATCATTCCGGCGTTGGAAAGGAAACACTGGAGGCTCACACCGGTCAAGACGAACGTCAAGCCGTCAAGAACGTTCGCAATTTGTCCAGGCTCGAGTCATGCGAACCTGTACAAAGCAGGTTGAATTCCCAACCCCAAGTGTATGGCTGGTTCGTTGAGTCCGGACGGACATGCGGCAACTTCGCATGTCCATCCAGTCCAGCCCTCTGACCACATGTGACCGACTTGCACCAGTCCAATCCCGATTGTTGGTTGCTCGATTGGGCAGCTCTTTCCAACATCCATCCATCCATCCATCCATCCATCTGAGGCGATCAGATTTTCTTCGAGCTCTTTGACCAAGATGGCATGGGGAAGCACGACAAGCTTGGTCATGCTGCTGTCGGTCTGAGCCTCTGACCCGCGGGGCCGGGCGCATTGTTTCGAGGGGAGGGAGCAACGAAGAGGTCTTCGCAGCGAAGTCTGCCCCCCCCCCCCAGACTTTTTCCACTCTGTCCAAGATTATGTGGGGGTGCCCTATTCTTGACCTTGTTCTTCAACTGGTCTTCAACTGGATATATGCCTAGGGGCTTGACTCCAGGGGTCTCTGGAGCTTGACTCTAGAAGACAGAGGAAAGGGACCATGGGATGCCAATGGATTTTCCATCCATTTTCGATGGTTCTTCGGCCTTTGGTGGGTCACTCCTCACTCTCCTCACTCCTCACTCCCGATGTCTGCCGACCCTGGTGGAACGACGGATCTGAGGCTGGGAGGAGTTGCAAGATGACTCGGCACCTTTGAAGACCACCCTGGTGTTGGACGAATCCGGGAAGAAGGCGAGCACGGCTCCCCCCATCCGCCCTCAAAGCGCCCAAGCCTTGGACCCAAAGCCCCTGGGCTTCTTCGTGCTTGCCGTTCCACGGAGCGTTGATCGGTGGCCTTCATCGCGCGCGAAAACGCCACCATTTTCCTGGGGCTTCTGGTTTCAAGTTTCAAGATGTTTTTGTTCTGCTGTATTGACAGTGGCTTTTCCAAGGGGATTCAATGGAGGTGCGCAAGACGTCCGGTGTTTTGCAGACCGATTGCACTTCCTATTGCATAATTAATCCCCACCCCCTTAACCACCTGAAAAATGTAACTTCCAATTTCCACCCCTCCCAAAAAGAATGGTAAAAGGGGTGCTCTGAGGAGTTTTGGACTTGTTATGCGTGTTTTAGGGTCATAACTGTCACTTCATTGTTTGGATTGAATGAAGAGGATAATTGTTGAGGTGGTCAGAGTTTCTATGTGTAGGTTCAGGTTCAAATTCTACCAAGCTGTTCTTCAAAGATGTCGAATTATTTGCTTCAAATTCATGTATTGATTGAGGTTAGGCGCTGTGGTTCCTGTTTGGTTTTGCATATCAAGCATCTTTCAATCCAAAGCCAGTTTGGCACAAATTGACTGAACCGATGTATTGTCCTTTTTCTTTGACATCTTTGTGAGGCAGGTTCAGCTTGCGCCAGGCCGGTTCGTCCTTCCAAGCGGTCATGCACGAACACAGCCTGCAAGGGCTTTTCCGGCGCAGACCATTAAAGCTGGTTGGACTTTGTTGAGCACAGGGAGCGTCGTAGTGCTGGTTCTCCAAGCTCTCGTTCAAAGGTTCCTTCCTGGCTTCTTCATGGACAGGGCAGTGAGGAAGGCTGGGCAAAGGCTGAAAAGGAAAGAGTCCGCCCCTGCACGGTCTCTCGAGGAGGAATACATCAAGGACTTCATCGTGAAGCTTTGAGCACCCCTTACTTCTTGGCGGTCAGTGGTTCCCAAGGCATTGGGAAATCAACCACGCTGAACAATCTCATGTGTGAGCATGTGAAGAATGGCAAAAGGGTGCTTCCTCTTGATATTTCTGTTCGTCCTGGTGAGGACTTGAAGCTCAACGAGGCGCTGCCCCAAGCCTTACAAGCCGTAGATTTGCCCCGGTATTACCCGTCAAATGTCAATTTTTGCTGGAAAAGGTGAATGAGACATCCAAGTGCCGAACAGGCAGTGCTGTCGTGGTGCACCTGCAACTCACAATCAAAAGCCGCTGGGGCAGGGATGCCTGTGATGACATTGCTTCCACCCTCGGTGCCTTCGCTCGCAACATCACCTACGACAATGCCGCGTGCAAGTTCATTTTGGAGGTCAGCGTGTCTGCCGTGGCCGACATCATCATAGAACGGTTTGACATGTCAAGGCTGGTGGTGACCACTACCTTTCGAAGACTTCATGTCTGTGGTCACGGAGATCGCGAAGCAGGGAAACGACTTCCGGACGCTGAACAAGGTTCTTGCCGACGAGGACATCGAGCAGGTGTTGAAGCAACTTCCGCGCGCCTTGGGTGAGAGACTGGAAAACGTCTCCAGGGCCGTGAGAGAGGCACTGATGCGTTCATCGAGCAGGTTGAGCAGTGGTAAGGAGCCCATTGGGGTATCTCCCGCAGAGTGACGCGGAGACCGAAATGAAGTTGAAGCTTCTTCGTGAGGAGCCCGCAGACTGCGTCCTGAGGCGGACAACCAATTTAAGTGTGGCTTTGAAGCATCGGCATCGGCATTTCGTCGCCAAGCTCTTTCAAGAGGACGAGCAGAAGTTGAGGGATGCAGGATACATGTGAGCTTCGCCAGTGAAAATGAACTGTGGCGCTTGAGACAGTGAGTCCAAGAGCCATTTTCACACATTGTAATGCATAACCGCAGATACCCAACCCTCCCGAGACAAGACACCTTGGCGTTTTGGGCACATGTTTGAGTCCGACACTGGACCGGGCGTCGGCGTATGGACGAAACGTGACGTGGAGAGCGCCTCTTTGGGTCGTTGTTTCCAGAAGTCGGTGGTGCAAGCGGTGGTGCATGACTGAGTGATATAGAGAGAGATAGATAGATAGAGAGAGAGAGATAGATAGATATATAGATAGATAGATAGATAGTCTAAGACAATAGTAGTAGGTAGGATTTTTCTGCCTACTGGATGTCACGCACTATATACCACTAAGTACCTGAGTCATGACAGTGGCCTCTTTGTTTGTCTTGAGCCCCCCACTCCTCAAATGCAGCACCCGCACCGGGCACGTTTACATCCAACGTCGGGAGGGGAGCCGTTGCCGGCGGCGTCGTCAGGGGCCTCCCTGACTCGAAGGTCCCAAATCCGACGACGGAACGTGCCAGGAGAATAACCCCGCCACGCTGGATGTGAAGATCACCGTGATGAAAAGGAAATTGGAGGCGAAGAGGGAGGATGTTCATCATATTTTCATACATCCCCGTCCAGACGTCTGGGTTCAAATCTCAAGTGGTGGTTTATATATGGATAAGGCTGTTTCGGATTCTGAGCCTTCTGAGTTCTGAGGGGGTTTAGGCTAGAGAAGGTTCACTTTTGCCAGCAGATCTTAGCCTACGGAGGTGTCAGTACAGCGATGTGCCAACATTCTGGATTAATTACTTACTTTCGAGGTGCGCCCTCAGGTTGTCAGTTGCATTCCGTCAGTACATTTTTCTGATCAAAGAACAAAACCAAAAAATAGACATTTCTATATATTTGCACTTGTGAGTCTGGGGATCCTGGAGTGGTTCCATCATCTTGGGCATCGGGGGATAAAACATCACAGGGCTGCTCCAAACACAGCAGATCATTGACTACCATGACTACCAAAAGAGACTGACCGAGCGTCTGTCTACAAGCCCACCCTTTGGGCTCCCTTTTGGGGAGGTTTCTTGACGTTCCAGGCGGGGGGGGTCCCGCCTGTCGCAGATGATTGCGCCACCGACTGGGCAGAACAACATCTACCGAGTCTTTGTGAGGTGCTCAGGAAGGCGATCTGAAGGGCTGCCATGGTTTCAGATGGTGCCGCCTCCCCAAGTTCGGTGGTTTACATGGACCCCCAAGATCAAAGACACCTTTGGGTGCCTGTGCCCTTCTCTTCTGGACCTGGAAATCTGCTGGAACGGCGTCACGGTGACGCCAAACGGGCCGACGGTCCTTCGAGTTTTTTTTTGGCAGTTCGAGACAGTTCGAGAAGGCCAAACAGAACACGACATGTGGACAACACCGTCAGTCTTCCGCCCAAAAACTGGCCAGTCCAGTCCAGTCCTTTGAAGCGACTGGCCGAGGTCGACATCAAATGCGCCCGGGGCCTCGGGCGCCCACAGGAGCCACAGCTCCGACGACCATCCGGGGTAGAACGATCCGGTGCGAATCGGGGGTGTTACACCATGCGGCCCCTTGGAGGGTTTTACATGGTGTAACCTTTCGGGGCACATTTCAGACTCAGAAGTCTCATACGAGCCAGTTCTTTTCTTGAGTTTTGGGGTGCAATTTTGGGGGCTCAACAGCAGTTATGGGGCCAGGCTCGGAGGTCCCAGCATTGCTCCGCCGCTTTTTTTCGGTTTCAATGCGCCAAAGTTTCGTGCTAGCCGCTCGCCCTCGCCCACGCGAATGCTGGAATCGGGCCCTGGTTCGTAGAGGAACTGAATCTGACCCCTAGCTTGACCGTTTCCTTTTCTTGTGCTGGCCCTGTTGGCAGCTACCCCCAGGATCCAACAGGTTCACAGCCACACCACCGATGTCGGTCGGACCATCACCGTCGGATGACAGCCAAATCCCACGTTTTTTTTCCCCCAGTAGGGGATCATCCCTACCGCCGCTCAGGCTCGTGGGTTGCGAGATGCTGACTCTTTCTTTGGTGGTGGAGGTGGGGTTGGCTGGGGATGGATGCCAAAAGGAGGCCCCAGAGGCGGGGGGTCGGAAGAGCCGCCTCTGGGGTGCTTGACGTAGTGCGCATGGCACCAAGCGGCTTGGGGGAACTCTCAAGTCGTCGTAGGTGTTTGGACGGTTCCAACGGCTGAAGTGCTCGTTGTTGGACGTGACACGGGAGGATGATGGAGGATGGACGCACGACTTGGAGTAGTTAGGCCGAACATCGGAGGTACGAAGGAAGGAAGCAGTTCCGTACCACCGAAGATGGAACACAACCCTGCTTGCGTGCGCTTGCGTGCTTATGCATGATCCACATATGCATCATTCATATCCATAGTATTCCATAGTTATTTCTAAAATGCACTGTTTACAGGGTTTCAAAGCATCCGATCCTATGTTCCATGATTTTGCCCACGTGATGGGGGTGCCTGAACCCTGAGCCGGACGTGTGAAGAGCGAAAGGGTCAGTAGACTGACCTCATGTGTTTGTGTGTGTGTGTGAGATTGGGATGAATGTGCGCAACTCCAGTCTGTCAAGATCATCACTTGACTTTGTGAAGGCCCTCAACATCAACAACAACTGTATCCCAGCAGTCACCAAGGGGTGCTTTTCATGGAGGTTAGGGGTGCCCAGCATGGGACTAAACACCACCCCGTCTTGTGACTCCTGGTCACTTTCATGATTGCAATTCTTTTGCAAGTCTTGTAGCTCCCATCTCTTTGGCAACTCCTCTTGCGACCTGCGGGACAGCTGCGTTAAAAAAAAACATGCGGGACACCGAGTGGTGAACGCAGCGAAACCACGCAGCGAACCACGGGTCGCCACCGCGTGTCAGTGCCCAAATCCCTTGATTTCAGGGCGTTCGTTTGGAAGTCGCCACAGCATCCCACGTCCAAAGCACCCGTTCCCTGCTGTTTCAGCCACGGAAAACACGTCAAGGACTGGAAAAACTGTATGGAGTCACCACACTCCAACAAAGATCTCATGAGCTGAGGACATCGACCGGTCTTCCCGAAAAAGCAAACCCTTCCGAAAAACACATGAAAAAACCACACACACACACACCAGAACCCTGTGGATCGTCCTTTCTTGCGGCTCGAGCGACACTGATGCGGTGACTTGGCCCTTGAACGACCGACTCCGAGCCGGGACGTCTGTTCAGGCTCGGACCCCTACTGCGTGTGCAGCGTCGTGGGGACCGGGAAGTCCAAGTTCAAGACCAGGAGCGGCGCGGCGGCGGAGCTGGCTGTGGGCTCGTGTGGGCGGAAAGGGCGAGTAGGTGTTTGACGTTTTCGACCTTTTTTCATCGGTTGTGCTCTAAGCCACAGGTCGTTGGAATACAGCCCACTCTTTTCATCTTGAGCCTTGTCGATGCAACACACCGGCAGGGCCGGCAGGGCTGTGCCCGTGTTCCCCGGCACCCCAACACTCGCCAACACCGGGGTGTTCACCGGGAGTGACCCCCCTGCGCACCGGGGTGTTCACACGCCGTTTTGCGAGGACTGAGGAGTCACTCCAGCTCAGATTCACTAGGTCAAAGGAGTCAAAAGGGTTCAAAAAGGATGAGAAGGACGTCATGATGGTGTGACCCCCACAAAGTGTGGTATGTTTCGGCGTGGGTTTCGCGCTCACGGTCGGCAAAAGATTTCGGTCACGGGCCTATACTATTATGTAATGTCTAGTGTCATGTTTGTCTATATTATATCATGCATTGATTATTTTCCGGGCATGTGCAACTAGTAGTGACGGTGACTGCATCAGATGTTGAGTAGTAGCGGTTTGTCTCAATATGCGGAGAGCGCCCCAAGTGTTCTGCCCTGTTTTGGTCGTAATTTTGTTACTGGCACGTAGATTGGTGCCATCGAGCCTGGTAGTCCTCAACTTTGGCCTCCACCGCCACAAAACACACTGCAAGGTCCAAAGGCTGGGTTTGATCATTGCCCCCTACACCACGCTTACTTCGTAAGCACCGCGGACCATGGGTGCCCCCCGAGCGTCTGCTTACCATCTTCACCGGATGCTCAAGTGACCGCGGCGAGCATGTCATCTCGTACAGGACCATCGACAACAAGACCGATCCTCAATGGAATGAGAGTGGCGTTGATCCCTCAGTGGTGTCAATACCCTTGTTTCATGTGTGAGCCAACAGGTTTGACCTCCAGAGCCTCTAGATCTTCAAAAAAAACCGAGTGAACCCCTGAGTTAAGGGGCCCAGGGCTCTGCATTTGCAACATGTTGAGGTGCTGCCCGACTTCCACAAGGGGGACAAGCTGCTGTGGCTTGGTGGAATCCAGCAGCCTGGGTCAGAGTGTTGTTTTCATTGCCTAGCATTGGGTTTTAGCGTGCTTGGCTTGTTTGGCTCATTTTACTTCTTGAGCTGTGCCACTATATACGTGCCATTGATTCCGCTGCCTAGGCTTGAGGTGTACGACAAGGACTGGAGCTTAGCAAAACACAACCACGAAAGACCACCCTCAAATCGGGTTGGGCGTGCGCCTACCACCATGGCTCACTATCGAGCCGTCTCATGGAGCTGTCAGGACATCGGGAAGAAAGATGACTTCTTGGGGAAGTGTGAGATTGCTGCTGCCAAGGCCCTTACAGGCCAGCGGGAGGTTTTCGGAAGTCAAGAGCCAGGAGGTGTGGTTGGTTGTTCCTGTAAGCTCCCTCACAGCACATTGGCGGTTCAAATCCACCCTGGTTCATCATGTGTTGCCAACTTGGGGTCACGTATCTGGCGTATCCTGTGGGGCGTATCTTGTTGCGTTTGATCGTGTCAGCGGCGGTGGCAGGCCTCACTCTCTGCGTGTGGTCTCCAAATGATTTGACCCCCAATTCAGCAGACCTACCCAGCAAGCAATGAGGGCATTGTGCCCTTTGCCAGTGCAACCTGCCTTCCGTTGGTACCAGGCTTCAAGGAAACGGAGTTCAAGCTCACGGTGCCTCGGTGGAGTCGGTGGGACCGTGGCACATGGAGTCTCTGCAGGTCACATCTGGTGCAGATGTTTCGCAAGAGTGAGCCAGTATAGATCAAAGAGGGTCAAAGATGTGCAACGGTTTTTGTTTGTCAGGAATGGTTTGGCAGGCAAAGAGGGGAGACAGTGTTTTGGACTGTATCCCACCCTCAGGAAGACGTTTGTGTGCATGTGCGTGCAGGAACTTACATAGTCAATTCAGGCATTGGTGACCCATGGTGGCAGAAGAAAGCACCTCACCATGGCTTGTATTTCCACGGCTGCGAACACGTGTGCAGGCACATAGGCTGGTCCTTTCAGGTCACGTCTCGAGGTAGAACACCGTCCCTTAAAGCCGGGAGACACCGCAAAATGCTCAGATACTCGACTTTGGTGGCCTTCTTTCAAAGAGGGGGGGATGAGTTCCAGGTCTTGGTAGTGGAGTTCCAGGTCTGGGTGGTACCGGATGGGGTGGGTGGTCAGGATCCACCTGCCTAAGGGTGTTTCAAACACCCCCCCCGTGTATTTGCTTACTTTTCCGTCTATTTTTTAAACATCCTCCTTTCGAATGCGGGGGTTTGTCAGCTTCTTTGGTGGGACCCGGTTGAGCCGGCAATTGTGCCGAAAAGGGCCGGTCAGAGGGAGCCGAGAACCACACCGGGTCAGAGGAGGAATTGCTCCTTCGGAGGTGGAGCTCTGAACCCCGGTCCCTCCCGAGCAGCGAGCAGTCAGGACACAGGCATGATCAACAAAAAGCCCGTGCCGCGGCTCAGATTGGACCTGGGATGAAGACCTTCAGACGGAGTCCAGCAGAAGTCAGGATTGGACATCCCCTGCCCAAGAACGGAATGTCAGCGGTGGAGCTAGCAACCCAGTCAAGGCGACTATATAAGTTAAGTTCTTGATCCTCAGGGGCAGGGGGCAAGCGATTGGTGCACAGTGGAAGACAGAATCCCTCCATGGTGGCGTGTTGTGCATTTCATAGTGAATAATCCTAGACGCTTGTTTTCGGATATGCATGTATGTCCTCACATGCACCATAGTGCACACAAGCACCATACGCACATGCACCATCACGCACAGTTGTGGAGGTAGAGACAGGATGTTAGGAAGCAGTTATTCTTCCATTCAATGGCGCTGCACGGGTGTTGAATTGAATCCCCTTCCGAACCACCAACCCGATCGACCTCCGTGACGGACAGGTGGAGGCCTTTGTCACGGTGGCCGTCCAGACCCACAAGCGGACCCTTCAGGCAACTGGGGTTCTGCGAAGTTCATGGTGTCCGACCGACGTTTTTTGTGTTTGGCATTGTCTGCGAGTCTGAGGTGAATGGTTGAGGTGATACTTACAGGTTTTACATTCCCTGTGTCTTTGGAATGTAAGCTCTTGAATAGACCTTCCCCCCCTTGATGGTAAAGCCTCTTCATTTGGGGCATCAGCTGGATGC